GGCGCGACAAGTTAAAAGGACATTATAATCTGGTCCATTCCAAAGACTATTTCTACCTATGTAGCTATTAATAGCTACGTAGGTATTTAAACCTACCCAAAGTAGCTATTTTTACCAACTTTCTGCTTTAATTGCATTTTGTGGCCAAACACAGAACGGTGCAACATGGTGAGCACTGAATTTCTTGATACAGTCACACTGATGATGGATAGGACAAAAATTTGGCCAAAAAATGATTACTTCCCATATTATCAATTTTGCATAGAAACTAATGTAAAATTGCCACTTCAGTAAGTAATCATTTTTTGGGCAAAATTTTGTCGTATTCATCAACAGTGTGACTGTATAAAAAATATGGTATTCATCATGTTGCGCCGTTCAGTCCTTTCGCCACAAAATGTAGGTAATACAAAAAGTAGGTTTGGGTAGGTTTAAATACCTACGTAGCTATTAATAACTAAGTAGTTGAATACGTGTTGATGAATGCGACAAAATTTTGGCCAAACAATGATTACTACTTACGTACCTATTAATAGCTACGTAGGTAGAAATAGTCTTTGGACTGGACCTGATAACCAAACAGCAATTATTATTACAATCATGTAACGTTAAAACACGTTCAGATACTTACGACTCTCAAATAAACTGACACAGTATACTTTTCCTCGATTTAGACTTGATATATCTTGATCTTTACGACAGGTTGTTCAACAGATGCCGAAATAAAGTATGCGTAAATGTTGACTTCTGACTTCGTAGTTTCGATGCTAACAGCAGGCGGCGTAAACAAAGAATGACGTCAGTCTCACCAAGCAGTTGATAAACATAGTTTTGGCGGAAGCCGAATACCGGAAATCTAAGATTTCGAATTTTAAAGACATTTTCATTCACTAATGCTCTAACATGCCTAAGAAATATTTTATACATTAAAATTTATGTATCGGCAATAAACAGTACCACAGTCTAATTAAAAGATCTTGTTCAATACAACAAAAATTAATATTTTCATTTCCTCAAACCAAATAATGTAGTATGTTTCACAGTTGTGGAATTACTACAACATTATAACTGCTATATCAAACTGATCTTAAAAATTGTGTCTTCAAAGAATTCAAAATATATGTCGAAAAAGTATATAAGATGGGAAGTCCACAAGAAGGAAATCCGGAGTTGCTTTCTGCAACCTTTGGTTACCCTTTTTACCGCAAGCATCTTAAACGCATGATTTAACAGATCGTACTGGAAATGTTTCTTGCAAGTCGGACAAAAGCATGAAATGAAATTATATTTTAATGATGTTTGGAAATGATCAGAAATGCTTTATTTACTATGCATTGTTAAATGATAGAATTTAATAGAAGAAATTAAAGTATTGTATAAACATAAAAATCATGCAATTCTCTTCAAAAGCTAGCATTACAATATTTTTTTAATCTTATAAAATGTAACTTTGTAGACCAGATGCTCAGTTTTCAAAAGAAAAGGCAAAGTAAATATTTTCAAAAACATTTCCTGAACAAATTATTTGAGATTTACTACTTTTCCTATTTAATATATCATTGAACCTATAAATGGCTTATCTGAGCTAAAAAATAGAAATAACGAAATTTCGTGTAGATTTACATATTTGCTATTTAAATTAAATGTCAGTTAAAATTAATTTTTTTTTTAATATCCAACTTCTCTATATGTTTTTTTTTAATTCCGAGTCGGTAAATAAATCGGTTACTGTTTTAAATACCTGATATTTATGAAACGCGATTGATTTAAACTGTAATTTGCAGGGAAATTCCATCTTTAAATAAAGTAAAAAAATTAAAAAAAAAAAAAAAGAAAGAAGAAAGAAATAGAAAGATCTTTTTAATTCTATTTCAGCTAGTATGAACTTATCAAATAAACGCCATAAATGACTTTAACATTTAAGATGAAGTAAGAATTACCGTCCTTAATTACACACTACCTTGAGAATTCGGAGACACTTTTATAAGCAATATATTGATATCAAAAACCTTGGTGCAATAATGTAGCCCTCTCCCCTTTTTTGGGAGAGGGCTACAACTCCTTATAGGATCTCCACAGTATTGTGCAACGGGAGCAGAAAAACACCAGATTTTAAAAAAATCACACAGGGCTACATTATTGCAGGTATCAAATACCCAACGCCTGAAGTTCGGACTATTGTAAAGATTATTTTACTACATGTATATACTTTATGTAAAACTCGGGACGCCTACTGCGCCCCCCCCCCCCCCCTCTATCCTTTGGAGTCATTATTTTAAAAAAGCGTAAATCTACCTGCATTAGAATCTCTAAATACATGTATGACCATCAGTTGTACATCAAAATGACTAATCGTGGCTTTGTTCAACTTGAGAAGATTTTCCTCATATATATATATATATATATTGATGCCACCAAAGAACAAGGCTCACTTAGGGCTATGTTTGACCCTGTGAATCTATAGCTTTGTTGGACTAATATGAACTTGAAACAATAATTCTCATTCAATGATACAATAACAGAGAATCGGACGGAAGACCTCTCGTTGCTCGCAACGAGATCGTTTCTAGTTATTATTATTATTATTCTTTTTTTTCTTACCGATTTTGTGCACGCGATTTCTCAAAAACGGCTCGATGGATTTCAACGAAACTTTCAGGACTTATATAACATTACTTGAACCTTATGCCTTTTTTTCCGTTTTGATGACGTCACTTCCGGTTTGGAAATAATGCCGATTTTATGAATTTTAAAGGGTCAGGTTGTCTCCAGACTTTCTCAATAATGGCTCTAGATAGAAACATGAAACTTTCAGATATGATAGACCAAAGTCTATAGATATGCGTAACGTCTTTCGTTTTTACCGGAAGTGCAGTACGTCGGCGCTGGCTATGGCTCGAAAAATGACAAATCGCAAATTTCAAAATTTTTAACACCTTTTCTACGATATCTTTTTACCTGTAAACATTTTGTTAAAACATATAGAACAAAAGAAGTGTAAAATTTCAAGATCTTTCAAATGATATCTTAAAAAAAGGGCTGGCCCCTAAATTTAAGGGTCTAGAGGGGCCGAAAGTTTTTCTTTCATAAGTCAAAAAGTATTAAGAATTTGTAAGAGGTCAAAGAAGCAAAGTTGTTCAAAATGTCAAGCCTAATCTACTGGGGTGCATTCGATTATAAGAACTCTTCAGACACTAGTGTCATTGTTGAGCATGCGCAATAGAGTATGTAATCGAATGCCTCGAGTCGAGCTCCAATGTAAACAAATATGGCTGACAACGTCGGATTAGTGTTTGCGGTCGATTATTTTCTTGATGAAGAGGACATAGACGATGATGACGATGATATTGTCCCATATTTTTTTGTTAACTCTATCAGAAGAGAGCGTGTCCCATCTGTAAGAATATTTTACGAAGATGTGTTGCCAGATTTCTCTTCTCTTGACTTTAGTAAGCATTTTAGGCTAACAAGGCAAACGTTCACACGCTTATTCCAAGAGATAGAACCAAATCTAGCCAAGGATATTCGGACACAGGGCAAACAGCCGATATTGACGGAGAAACGTGCCATGGTAGGCCTATGGTATTTATGTAATACAACTTCCATGAGAGAAATTTCTTTACTGTTTGGAATTTCACAGTCCACAGTTTTTGACTGTGTTCATGACTTTTGTGATGCATTATGCTCAGTTCGGGATCGAGTTATATCTTGGCCAGGTCCCCAGCGTCAGCAAGAAATTTCTGATCACTTTGAGGCCGAATGTAAAATACCAGGAATCATAGGGATAATTGATGGCAGTCACATTACTCTTACAAACATTCCCAATGGAGATCAAGACTACATCAACAGGAAAGGGTATCCCTCACTCCAGTTGCAAGTTATTGTAGACCATATGTTACTTATTACAGATAGCTTTGTTGGATGGCCAGGGTGTACCCACGATGCCCGAGTTTTCAGAAACTCGGATATCTTTAATGAGTTGGAAAATGGAATTTTAAATCCACACTTTTTCATAATTGGTAAGAAAATTTTAACTGAGTAAAATGTTTCAAAATTAAAGCACATTAATTAAGATTTCAACAAGGATACCTCTAGATCTTTGTTCTTTTTGTCAAACTTATTGGGGTTAACAAAAGAAATAGTAACTGTATAAGTAGGTTAATATGCATGGTTTTCCTATTTTAATAAATTTTAATGTATACATTTACAAGAAACTTAGTTTAGTTTTTCAAAACATTACAGGAGATTCTGCCTACCCACTGAAGCCTTACCTGATGACCCCTTTCCGTGATAATGGAAGGTTAACTGCCCCCCAGAGACATTATAATAGAAAGTTATCAACATCACGTCAGAATGTTGAAAGAGCCATTGGCCTACTAAAGTGTAGATTCAGAAGGCTCACAAGCCTACCCTGCTTGGATATAGAACGTGCTTGCAAAGTAATAACTGCATGCTGTGTTCTTCACAACCTTTGCATTCTATCAAATGACTCTGTTAATGACATGCTGGATGACCTCCCTCCAAACAATAATGTCAACAACTATGGACCATTATATGGAAATGCACCCCTTGGTATAAACTTTCGCAATCAGATAGTTCAGTATCTACAAACATTGTAAAATCTAAATATTGTGCATAAGAGAAAAGACAATGATTAGAGACAAGATTGTATTTGAAAATGAAAGTTTAATAAAATTAGAAGTTAAACTTTATAACCATGTATTGTTTTCAATAAACAACTTTTAAAAAAAAAATGACAGGGCCTATTTGGCATATCACAAATGTAAATTAATCTTAAAAGTTTAATAAAATTAGAAGTTAAACTTTATAACCATGTATTGTTTTCAATAAACAACTTTAAAAAAAAATTGACAGGGCCTATTTGGCATATCACAAATGTAAATTAATCTTTAAAAAAAGGAAAAAATTAAAGCATTAAATATTGTCAATCCATTTCTCTAATGAAGTGTTAACCATGTCATGGAATTCTAATGTGGGGACAAATACATTGTTCCCTATTTGTATATTGCTAGAGTCTGATTCTACATTGAAACATGTCTCTTTAAGCAAAGTGTCTGGCGTAAAACACTTTGTAGACATTTCACAAGAGAACTGAGATTCAGGCGAAGCAGAGCAATATGAACAATATGAAAAAGGTGAATCAAAGCACTCTGTTGCTTTTGGTGATTGAAAAATAAACATATGCAAGTCCTTGTAGCAATCCTCAATGTTCTTGGTAAACTCATAAAATTCAACTAAGTTGTATCCAAATCTTTCAAATAATCTACAAAGACACAAACATAGTAATTGTTTACAAATTCTTCACTATTAATTTTACTGATCATTTTTAGGAATTTTTGGTTGCAGACAATCGATTAACTTTCCCATAAGATTCATTTTTTCCTCGTGTTGTTTTTTTGAAACCTCCAACCTTTCTTTCCTGTATTCCTCTTGTCTTTTTGTGTACTCTTCCAAAGCAAGTAATGCAGACTGATTCGTATTCCTACGTTTGAGGGATTTCTTCGGTTGTGGAGTGCTGCTATCTGACGAATTAGAATCTCTGGAGTCCTCTTCTTCAACATCTTCATCATTATCTTTGTTATTTTCTGTCTTGTTGTTTTGTCGCACTCTTGAAGACAGTGTAAATGCTGGTCTCGTACCACTTTTGTTTCCATAGAGTTCAGAAAATTGTTAAAAAAAATGGCATGTTTTTTTCTCTGATCCTGTCTGTGCATTATTGTCCACCGTTTTCTTGTATTCCCTTTTAAGCGCCTTCCACTTATTCATGCACTGTGTTGCTGATGCTGTAACACCAACAGCAGATAATTCCTTGGCAATGGTTTCCCAAAGACTCTTGTGCACTTTGTTGCTGTTAAAGTCTTTCTCCATTCTACTTCTTATATCGAATAATGTTTTAGTGTCTTGTTTATTCCACATTTTTTGGTCCAGTGACTCAGATTCTACATCTGCACTGCACGGCACTGCACTGCATGATTTTGCATCAGAGGATTCTACGCAGTCATCTGAAAAATAAGCAAGTACATTAAACTTGAGAGTATTTGATATGCGGTTGAAGTATGTATATGCAGGTGTTTATATATTTATGATAAAATAACAGTTTCAAATATTAATTTTATATCATTGGAGCATAATCTGCAATTTTACAGTTTTCTGACTTTTAATATATAAAATGTAAAACAATGCTGGATTCAAAATTATGACCTGTTTCGTAGATTTTCTGCCTAACCATTTTAGAAATTAAAAGTAATGGAAAAAGGTTTTCTCACTATACAGCATATTTTAATTGTTTAATCATATATATATTTAAGATATAAGATATTTTAAATACTTATACATAATGTAATAGGTGTTCCTGGAAAATACATTTGTAGTGCATCACCAATACCAAACACTGACACACAGAAAAAAATGCTTATGGATATATAACTGCTTACCCATATTACAAGTTGCTCGTATGAGTTGTAGTGCCATGTCTCTTTTTCTTTGGTCTGTTAATATTAAAACAAATATTTAATCATTGCTCTAAATGCTGAGTAATACCTACTAAACTTACAAAATAGCACATACAATAAACAAAATAAATATACTTACCGTCTGAGTTAAGTGATTCTACAAGATGGCAGTCTCCTAGGATCTGAACATCTTTCCCATCAATTTTCATTGATATCAAAAATCTAAAAAAAAAGATAATGTTGATTTAAATGGAATGTTGAAAACCACTTAAAATTTACGGGGTTAATACGCGTTATGAATAAAATGGATTTGGCTTCATAAAATATGAATATATATTAATTATAAACAACAAATCGTAGGCGCCGGAACCGGGTGGCCAGGGTAGGGTGGGGTTAGCCCCCACTTTTTCCCAAAGATAGACTTACTATAAACATTGAACATTGCTGCGTATAGGTTTAGCCCCCCCCCCCCCCCCCCCCTCACTTTCCACAGACACGTTGCAGAATAGGGAAAAAAGTTTTGGTACTGAAGTTCGTTTTAGCTTAAGTTTTTTTTTGCTTGCCAGGTTTTTTTTTGAGGTCTAAAAAAATTTTTTTCTTACACTTAGCCCCCCCCTTTTTTTTTGCTTCCGACGGCTATGCAAATAAAAAAAAATTACATTATCAGATTATCGGGATATAACAACGCGACTAACATTTATTCATTTATTTCATTTGTCACCGCAATTCAAAGTGTAAACTACTATCATTTGGTATAGAATATAAATATTTTCTCAATTCGCTAACAAACTTTTATGTAAAAGTCATATTATGCTCAAAATAGTTAATTTTCAACATGCTGACTTACTGCTCGTTCGTGTTGACCGCCATCTTTCGACTCTTGTACTCCTGCTAAATTGGAGAGTATACTCGCGTTGGTCGTGTTTGACACGTGACGCCAACTCTCGGCATTCGATTTGTCAGGAGTAAAACCCGTGTAACTCGGGTCGCTTAATCGAATGCACTCCTGGCGTCGTCTAAATACGTCCGGCGTCGTCACTTCCGGCCTAACCGGAAGTAGTCGGAAAACGCGTTTTTTTTGCCGTTCTTGACAAGTTTTGTGGTTACTTATGTCTCTGGGAGCATTAAAAGTAATTTATCCGTCCATCGTCGTCACTTCCGGTCAAACCGGAAGTAGCAAAAAATGGCTTATTTTGAAGGTTTTGATGCAAAATTGAAATTATAAAGTCACTGGAGACTTTTTAGCTCATTGCTTTCTTTTGTTCTGTCAATTCCGGCACTTCCGGTCAAAACCGGACGGAAGACCTACTCGTTGCTTTGCAACGAGCTTTGCTCTAGTTATTATTAAGGTCTTCCGACTTCCTTCGGAAGACCTTATTGTTTTCCTTCTGTTTTTTATTATTATTATTATTCCACTTTTCATAGTACAGGTCATATCTCAGCTGTGCGTGGACGAATTTTAACGATTTTTTCAGGGATGATGCATCTTATGAATATCTCCAGGGGTGTCCCTCACTTTTTTGAAATTTTTCTCCGTTTGCGATTTTTGGGGAAATTTGTATTTTTTAAATGGAATTTTGTCGCAAAAAATTCTCGAGAACGGCAAAAGATATGAAACTAAAACTTGCTGAGGTGATAGAACATCGATTGTAGATGTGTTGATCGACCTTCATTTTTCGTCGATTTGACTTCCGGTCGCAAACGGAAGTGAATTCAAAAAGTCTAATTTTTCAACTTTTTTGTTTTTCAATATTTTTCTTTTGAATTTACAGGGTTTATAGAGCGTCTTCAAAGATTTCTATATATGTTTTCATTTTCTTCATGCGTGCGTTTATTGCAAAGATATGACCGAACCAAAATTTGTCTTACTGTCGGGGGTTCGAATCCCGCTCGGGGCGTTCCCCAAATTTTTTCTTTGTTTTTGTCTTTTTTCAGATGCAAATTACGTTTCACTCTTTTATAACATGTTTGGAAGATTTTGTCGATTTTAAAAGCTATATTTGGAGATATTTTGTGAAATACCTGGAACAATCACGATCTGTGTTGAGAACCTAATGTAAATGAACGTAAACGAAAAAAATACTTTATGAAATCTATTTCATGGGATGACACAGCAAAGACTGCAAAAGAGAAGTCGGTCGGAAGACCTGCTTGTTGCCCCAGCAACAAGAACGCATCTAGTTATTATTATTATTCCACTTTTCATAGTACAGGTCATATCTCCGCTGTGCGTGGTTCAATTTGAACGATTTTCTCAGGGATGGTGCATCATGTTAATATCTCTAGGGGTGTCCCTCACTTTTTCGAAATTTACTTCCGTTCGCGTTTTTTGGGGAAATTTGTATTTTTTAAATGGAATTTTGTCCCAAAAAATTCTCAAGAATAGTAACAGATATAAAACTGAAACTTACGGACGTGATAGAACATCGAATGTAGATGTGTTGATCAACCTTCATTTTTCGTCGTTCTGACTTCCGGTCGCAAACGGAAGTGAATTCTAAAAGTCTAATTTTTCAACTTTTTTGTTTTTCACTATTTTTCTTTGGAAATCACAGGGTTGACAGAGTATCTTTAAAGAACTCTAAATATGTTTTCAACATTTTCATGCTTTCATTTGTTGCAAAGATATGATCGATCCAAACTTTGTCTCATTGTCGGGGGTTCGAATCCCGCTGGGGGTGTTGCAAAAATTTTTTCTTTGTTTCTGTCTTTTTTCAGTTGCATATGACTTTTCTTTCTTTTTTATAATGTATGGAAGATTTTGTCGATTTTTAAAAGCTATATTTTGAGATATTTTGTGGAATAACTGTAATAATCACGATCTATGTTGAAAGACTGCTGTCAATGAAAGTAAACGATAAAAATACATTCTGAAATCTATTTCATGGCCTGACGGAGCAGAGATTTCTAACGAAAAGTCGGGCGGAAGACCTGCTTGTTGCCTTAGCAACAAGAACGCATCTAGTATTCTTACTATTTTCGTATTGACCAACTTCTGGAAATGACCTTTGTCCGGTCCATTTCTCCCGAACAGCTTAAGATATGAAAGTTTACTGTGTCGGATATCATAGATCATGACTTGAAGATGTGTCGAACGACATTTTGTCCGTCGTCAATTCTTCCGGTCGTCGCGAAAAAGGGGATTAAAAGTCGATTTTTTAAATTTCTTTGTCTTTCTTTCTATCTTTTTCTGTGATATTCATGGCATAAGTAAAGGCCCCTATTTGCTGATTTAACGTATAACCAGTTTCTTGATTTGATAAAGAAGAAATTAAATATCTTTGAATGTCTTAGAACTTTTGCAAGCGTAGGTTCAACGTTTTCTTAAACACTAAAAAATATTCATTTCATTTTCTCATAAATAGGCTGCGCGGGTAATACACATGGTGCCGTTGTGCAGGTAAGGTCTTCCCCGTGATGGGGAATGGACCTGTAGAAAACCTTCTCTGGTTCCACAGAGTCGAGTTTTTTAGCAAATAAAATGTATGAAACATGTATCATGTGTGTGCATCTTATACCCCGCCCCCATTTTTTTTTTTTTTTTGAAAACTGTAAGAAACCTAGCCCCCGCCTTTCTCACTTATTGAAATGAATGCTAATTCCGCTTTAATGTTTTACATTCTACATAAAATGACCTTGACATTTATATAACAAGGCACTCTTCTTAAAGTTAAGAAAATGATAAGGCTAAATTCTATCTACAAAATAATGGTAATTTACAAGTCTATATTGAAGACAGCCCCCCCCCCCTTCGGAAGCGCGCAGCCAGGTAGAATTCGCAGATATAACATATACAACTTATAAGTAACGTTTTAAAAGTTTCATTCATAAAAAAAATTAGTTCCCCTTATGTCATCTGATAATTTGCTATCATTCATTCTTCCTATGTTTTGTCTGTAGAATTTATAATTATTTCATTGAGAAAAAATTTTATCTTGAGAAAATAAAGATTGTCAGCTGCATTTATTAGCATCTCGCATTTTCTTGTATATCTTTTACTTGCATATGAATAATGTCATTAAATAAAATAAAAGAAACCGAACTCTATTTCCATCTTTTTTAATTCATTCATAAATCCTTGGATCCGCTCGCAGCTGCGCGGTGGCCTCATCGCTACTGTAAACAATTCATTCATCACGCCGAAAATGTTCATGATTCCGCTAAACTAAGAAAGTTTACACATGCTTTATCATCTCATATCAAACATCAGACCTGTCCAATGCAGGAATGCTCGAGTTAAAGAGGAAAATTCAGGAATTATTTTGCGTCGGCCATATTCTGACGTGAACCTATGCGACAATTTGTAATTAGGGTCTTCCGCTTCCTTCGGAAGACCCTACTGTTATTCTATTGTTTCTTATTAAGGTCTTCCGTCTTCAGCGGAAGACCTTCTTGTTATTCGTTTGTTTCTTTTCCACTGTTTTTCTTATTATTTTTTTTCTTACCGATTTTGTGCACGCGATTTCTCGAAAACGGCTGGTTAGATTTTTATAAAACTTTCAGGTCTGATAGAACATTAAAAATTCTCGAAACCCTTTTTTTTTTATGATGTCACTTCCGGTTCGGAGATTTTTGCAGTTTTGTGATTTTTAAGGGTCAATTTGTCCGTCGCTCTTCTTTAAAACCGCTCATCACAGGAAGATGAAACCTTTTCAGGAAGATAGAGCAACATTTGTAGATTTACATTGTGTTGTTAACTTTCACCGGAAGTACTGCACGTTAACGCTTGGTATGGACTGAAAAAGTCATATCGAGCGTTTCAAAATTTCTAACACTTTTTCTATTATATCATTTTACTTGTAAATATTTTGTTAAAACATATAGAACAAAAGTTGTGAAGAATTTCGAGATCTTTCAATTGATATCTCGAAAAAAGGGCTGACTCCTTAAATAAGGGATCTAGAGGGGCCAAATGTTTTTAATTGATATCTCAAAAAGTATTGAGAATTTGTAATACGTCAAAAAAGCAAAGTTATTCAAAATGTCAAGCTTAATCTATTTGTGTCGTCAAAATACGTCCGGCGTCGTCACTTCCGGTCAAACCGGAAGTAGTCAAAAACGCGAATTTTTGCCGTTCTTGTCAAGTTTTTGGGTAATATATGTCTCTGGGAGCATAAAAATTAATTTTCCGTCCGTCGTCATCACTTCCGGTTAAACCGGAAGTAGCAAAAATTCGTATATTTTTGCATTAATGAACATAGCTTTGGAGGATTCAAACCATTTTTAGACGTTATTTCTCATTTTTGTTAAAAATGAAAGCTACTTCCGGTCAAACAGGACGGAAGACCTACTCGTTGCTTTGCAACGAGCTCGGCTCTAGTTATTATGTTCCCCAAACGGAGTTTGGGAACATATTGTTTTTACTCTGTTTCTTACTATTATTATTAAGGTCTTCCGTCTTCAGCGGAAGACCTTCTTGTTATTCTTAGGTTTCTTTTTCACTTTTATTATTATTATTATTATTCTTTTTTTTCTTACCGATTTTGTGCACGCAATTTCTCGAAAACGGCTGGATGGATTTCAACGAAACTTTCAGGACTTATGTAACATTACTTGAACCTTATGCCTTTTTTTCCGTTTTGATGACGTCACTTCCGGTTTGGAAATGTTGCCGATTTTATGAATTTTAAAGGGTCAGGTTGTCTCCAGACTTTCTCAATAATGGCTCTAGATAGAAACATGAAACTTTCAGGTATGATAGACCAAAGTCTATAGATATGCGTAACGTCTTTCGTTTTTACCAGAAGTGCAGTACGTCGGCGCTGGCTATGGCTCGAAAAATGACAAATCGCAAATTTCAAAATTTTTAACACCTTTTCTACGATATCTTTTTACCTGTAAACATTTTGTTTAAAGATATAGAACAAAAG